CTCTCCTCTGTGAGGGTCCTTGGTCTGTACTTGCCTGTCACGATCCTGTCACTCTTGATGATCACTAGTCAGTTTATTTCATAGGCTGTTCTTCAATGTGTCTGACTTCTCTAATGATTATATTGAGGTCATATATTTTTGGTAGGAAATGTTACAACACAAGGAAGGTCATGCCCTTTCTTTGGTGATCACATCAGAGGGCTTGTGATGCGATATGTCTTATTCCTGATGATGTTAACCTTGATCACTTGGGTACGGTGGTGTTGGCTGAAATATTCCAAGTAACTATTTTTCCTTTGTAATTAGTAAATGTTTGAATTATGAACACAGTTTTTCAGATGTAACTCCTTATGCTTACCACTAGTAACTTGCCTTTCTATTTTAGGCTTCAATATCAAGGAAAACAATGTTTTGTTAGAATTCTTTCTAAAATTAAAAATGTGGTTCTAGGCAAGGGTTTCTTGTAGACTTTTAAAGATATGTCTTTTTGCTACTAGATAGCCCTTATAGTTAAATTCATGTTCCCAGTTTTGAGATTTTCTATACAGATTCAAAATTGTTAATAATTTCTGATAAATGGAACTTCCTAAGCAAAGTATTATCTTAATGGTACTTATGTATCAGGTAAAGATACCTGAAAACCTAGAAATGGAATCATCACAATTTGACTTATTAAATACATACATATTTCCAGCTAAATGAGCTAGTCTATTCCCCTGTCTGTAATCCTTTCCCAGAGGATGGGACGAAAAATGGAAATAGCAGGAGTTTGGCATCCATTACTTTTATTCATCCTTAATATATTAGATGTAGAGAGGAGAATCTGATGTGGTACCTATGAACCAAAAAGCCATCTCATGATGACATAAATGTTAAACATCCTTTCCACATCTCTGAATTTCAGGCTCCCAGCTTTGAATCACCCAGGGTGAAGAGGCAACACAAGATCTAATCTTCATATTCCATTTGCCCAACACCATCTATATCATGGAAAAATCTTACTAAAATGGTCTGTCTTCACCATGTCATCAAATCCACCCCTCTGCTTCTACATAGGCTTTCGTGGAAACCATTTCAGAAAGGAAGCTGTGTGCCTTAATCTCTAATTTTTAAGAGAACACTTCTTTCTTATTATGTATCTTTTAGATTTCCTTTTCATTTCAAAGGTCTATGTAAATGAAACATTTCTTCCTACAGTGAGATACATTTTAAAGCACAGTGTATGTTTTGTGTATATTTAGGATGTTTTATAGGTTTCCACTGTTTTAATTTGGTGAGGGTGAGCTCTAGCCCATTCTTCCTTTTAATATAACCTGATAAAACCCAAATATTTCTCAGGTACAATGTCCTAAAAAATACGATTTATGGTTCCCTATCTCCCTTGTGCCTGTTTCCTAAAATGACTGAGTCACTGTTGTTCTGTTGTTTAATCCGATAATTATACAAGCACAAATCTTATATTGGAGCAGAAAATGTTAACATACATTGAAAAACCAAAAAGTATAGAACTATAATCTGTATGATAAAATGTATTACTCTGTTTAAAAGGATTGTTTTACGGATGCAATTAACAATCAGCGATCATACAGTTTAGACCGGTGTTTTGATGCCATCTGTTGGAGTAAGTCCTCTCTCTCTCTCTCTCTGGAATAAAGCTATAATTTTCAGTTTACAGTTTCAGTAGACAACACGCAGTACAACAGTCACCAAAACAAGAAAAATCCTAAACACTTTCCATTTTGTAGCCTCCCAGAAACAAGTATGTTGCTGAAATTTTCTGAGAGAGAATTTAGAAAATTAGCAACATGACCACAGATTGATGCTTTATTTCACAGCCTTTAAATATCACCAACAGCTCAAATGCCAATGATGGTTTATAAATTTTAGTTTTAATGTTTGAAATATGATTTTCATTATTTGGTTATAATTTTTATTAATTTTAAGAAACACTTTCCCTGTGCCTAAACAAATTATGTCATAATACCAGTAGGAAAAGTTAACAAATAACTTGTCCATTAGAACACATTCCTGTTTGTTATTAGCTTATTAAATCCAGATCACACCTTTGGGGGCTTTTAATACACTAGGGGGTGCTAGTTCTCTACATGTACACATTCACAAAGTGAAACGCTTTCTACAATTAATTTTTGGGAATTATAAAAGTTGATCTAAAATTCTAAAACAGTACATTGACTGCATATTACATAGGAAGAAGACAAACAAAAAGAACTCATTAAAATTGCACTAAGAATTAAACAGCAAGAGTCCAAATGGGAAAACAATTTTACATTGCAAGAGGTAAGATCGATATGGCTTTGTTTCATGGCTCAGACATCAGTTGCTAGTCTCAAACAAAACCTGAAAGAAAGCCACAGCTTTTCAAAAAGTAAAGTATCAGATTTGAAATTCTTCGTGCTCTTTCTTATGTCTATGGTGCTCCAAAAGAAACACAAAGCAAAATTACCAGGGAGAAGAGGTTTCTTTACTAAATTTAGACAAGTTATTTGAGATTCTCTTCCTTTGATATGTTATTCAAACAGTCTCAAATGACAAGAAGTCACCATTAAGATCTGAACTTAATGCTCTACAGTAGGCTGGCAAACTGCCTCAAGTAACTAATGGCTCTCTGCTAGGTCTTTGGAATATTTGCATGATGAAAGTACACACACATGCACACACACACACACACAGACACATCAGTGTAAAAAAAGAAACAAGTTTACTTTTTGTATTTTTAAAAAACAGAATCAAGCCCAACAGGGTCAGTATCACAGATTCCATTCTATAGGTAGTATGTGGGTAGGGGGAAAAGAGTCTATTTTTTTCTTTCTTCTTTTTGGGCTTAATTTTCCTTCTTTGAAAAGACTAACCAACAGCACTCCAGATATACTCAAATCCAGGAAAGCGTAGTAACCTACAACTTCCCACCTTCAGAAACAGGCTGAATTTCAATAGCTTTTCTTCTACATAGAGGCTCTGGCATTTCTTTGCCAATTGTCAGGATAGACTCCAGCCTTTCTTCCTGCTCTACCAAGCTACACGCATCTGCCTGGTCTCTTTGGTCTTTCCTGGTACAACACAAGGAGCCCCCAAATTCTTCCCAGGTTGTCCTATTTCCTGCCCCACCAAGTACACTAGCAGTACTCGGTAGGTTTTACGGACTCACTGTATATTGCTCACAGCAAGAAATATCACACCTAGCAGGAGTTTGTTCAAAACACTTTGACATTAAGGTAAAGAACATTGAAAACTACTTAGATGAAACCATATCTTTGGATCACCACCTAGCACATCAACCCACAGCTCTACCAGAAACAGAGTCATGTACTATTCATAAACTAACACAAATACTCTAATACTCCAGTGGCATGCCAACAATGCACACATACAGGGAATAGTTCCTCGAATGTTTGAACAATTAGCCAGACCCATAGAGGAGTACTGAAGGGTTTTATGCAATGATCATGCATCATCCTAATCTGTGACTATCCCTTATTATTTTATGATTTTATATCTCCAAACTACCTAGTAATGGCATTTGCACTGCAAATATGTAAATGTTTTTAAGTTCGAATGCAAAATGGCAATTTCATGGGTTTATTTTTAGTCACAACAGAGTTTCATCAGATTAATCAACTTTTCATCCTTTCCTTGGGAACAGGGGCCAAATCTACCATTGTTTATACCTTGGTAAACTAGATGAAGGCAAGAAAATGGTTTTCAAAATAGTAATCATTAGAATTGCCAATTTCTATTGACAAACAGTATAAACTGTTTCATTCTATATTTGGAATTCGGGAATCGTAGAATTAGAAGGGGTTTAAACGTCATTTTTATTAAATACCCTGCTCCCATGTATGAAGCAACCCTGCTCATCACAGACAAATGGCTTTCAATTTTCAACTTAGACCCCCCCATAGAAAACCACTGCCTTCCGCGCATAATTATCAGAAAGCTCTGCCTGTCTTCTCACCGTGTCTTTTTATTATTATTACTCTTTAAGTTCTGGGCTACATGTGCAGAATGTGCAGGTTTGTTACATAGGTGTACACGTGCCCTGATGGTTTGCTGCACCTATCAACCCATCTTCTGCATTAGGCATTTCTCCTAATGCTGTCCCCTTCTTGTAACCCCCCCTTACCCTCGACAGGCCCCGGTGTGTGATGCTCCCCACCCTATGTCCATGTGTTCTCATTGTTCAACTCCCACGTATGAGTTCTCACCATCTCTTTTTACAGGTCAGCCCATACTATGTGTCAGAGCAGTTTTTGAGTCTGGACTTTCTGGGTTCAGACCCCAATTCTGTCATTTATTAACCTTGTAACCTTGGATAAGTTACTTAATTTCTTTGTGCCTTCAACATAAATGTAAGAATTTGGCCACTTTTCATTACTTCCATGACTGCCATCTTTGACCCCACCACTATCATTTCAAAAGTCTTCTAATTCCTGCACCACAAATCTATTATCAATGTGGCTGAGTGATCCATTTAAAATTTAGTCAAGCCAAGTTCCTCTTCTGATCAAATTCATGCAATGGCTTCACACTGAAGTCTGAGTGGAAGTTCAGTGCCTTATGATAGCCTGCAAGCATTAGCCACACTGATCTTCCTGCTCCAGAACACGGAGACACACTCCTACATGGAGGCCGCTGTTCTAGCCATTCCCACAGCCTGGAATCCTCCTCCCCTAGGTATCTGCCTGCTCATGCGTCTTCTCCTTCAAGACGGCTTAATCCCACCTCACTGCAAGTGGTTCTGGCTTCTCTATTTAACAGAGGCAGATTGATCCCCACCTACCCCAGCACTACTGAGATTTCCTTTGCCCTGTCTACTTTTAAAATACCATTTCTCACTTTCTAATATACGATGTAATTTATTAATTACTCATTTTTTATATCAATAATTGTCTTTTTCTTTTCACTAAAATACAATTCAAAAGGGAAGGAGGTTTTATCTATTTTGCTCATGGCACCTTGCACACAGGAGGCATTTAATAACTGTTTATTGAGTAAGTGAATGAATTTTAGGATGATAAATAAGTTAATATAAATACAGCACTTAAAAAAGTAGCTGGAACACAAATTTTCCTACACTTATTTTTATTACTCTGCTGTAATTGCTATTACTGCTGTCATTACATTTAGTGATTTTCTTCTTACAATTATTAGCCAAAGCATCCTTGCTTACTTCCTAAGCTGTAGCTACTAAAGGTCTTTGATCTATAGGATCAGCCCACCACCTAATTCATGGGCTATCCCAATCAAAATTGACAGTGTATTAGAAAGCTTATCTTTGGAATTGTTCTTCCTCTTAGCATGGAGTGAGTGCACAGGTGTCATGAAGCTTACTCTACCAGAGGTCTGCCCTTTCATTCTCATTGGGACACATGTCTGCCCATCTCTCCTGCTTTCTCTTTATACTCCTGGCCCCTTCTGGAATGGCTCTGAGCCCCAGGCCACTTGCCTTGAGCTTGTCTCCTTCAAAAACAAATAACCATGCAGCATTTCCCAAGGTTATTTGACAATGTAATAGCCTTTATGTTGCTCTTTCTGAGACAGTGCTCTAGACCAAAGGTTCCCAAATGTCTTAGTTCATGGTACTCTAATAGCTCAGTAATTATTTTCATCTTTCTGAGACAGTGCTCTAGACCAAAGGCTCCCAAGTGTCTTAGTTCATGGTACTCTAATAGCTCAGTAATTATTTTCATCTTTCTGAGACAGTGCTCCAGATCAAAGGCTCCCAAATGTCTTAGTTCATGGTTCTCTAATAGCTCACTAATTATTTTCATCTTTCAGAGACAATGCTCTAGACCAAAGGTTCCCAAACGTCTTAGTTCATGGTACTCTAATAGCTCAGTAATTTTTTTCATCTTTCTGAGACAGTGCTCTAGACCAAAGGCTCCCAAATGTCTTAGTTCATGGTACTCTAACAGCTCAGTAATTTTTTTCATAGCACTGCTTAGTCAGAAAAATTTCATCTATTAAGTAATGAGGTCCAAACAACTTAATCAGCATTTATGTCCTAATCATCTGGTAGTCATTTGACAAAAAGCATACATAAGTTGAAACAAAAATGTTTTTTTATCCTTAGATAACCACAGTTACTTACTAATGGGATATAACTTTTTTTGGGGGGGGGTGGGTTGGAATCTCACTCTATCACCCAGGCTGGAGTGCAGTGGCGTGATCTTGGCTCACTGCAACCTTCGCCTCTTTAGTTCAAGTGACTCTTGTGCCTCAGCCTCCTGAGTAGCTGGGATTACAGGCACCTGCCACCATGCCCAGCTAATTTTTGTATTTTTAGTAGAGACAGGGTTTTGCCATGTTGGCCAGGCCGGTCTTGAACTCCTGATCTCAAGAGATCCACCTGCCTCAGCATCCCAAAGTGCTGGGATTACAGGCATGAACCACTGCACCTGGCCTAGCTAACTTCTTAAAACTTGGAATCTGATTGGATATCACCACTCTCATTTTCTATTCTTATTAATTTTAGCATGGGAATTGTTTTCATCACAGAAACTGGCAAAACCAAAGCTTTGCAGAGATGCGAAATAATCCAATTGAATGTAGTATGATTTAATGTTGAAACCATGAACTTAAGCTAGTAGTTCATGAGGTACCTGACAGATGATGAGTATGGCTGTTTCCCTGAAAAATGTTGGAAGCTGTGCCTCTAGACCAGTGCTTCTCAGACTTCACTGTGCATTCACATCGCCTGGATTTTTGCTAAATGTTCATTCAGATTCAGTAAGTCTGCAGTGGGGACTGAGGTTCTGCATTTCCAACAAACCCCCAGGTAATGAGATGCTACTGGTATAAACCCACACTTGGAGTAGCAAAGCCCTAGACCACTTAAGCTCATCATTGGAATTATGAAGTTACTGTCAAGGCAATATTTAGTCATTTATAGGATAACTTGAGAAATAAAGAAAACTTCAAATGCTTTCACCAATTAGTAGCATTCAGTTATTCGTGAACACTCAGATTAAAACTTGATTTACATTCTAAGAGTAATTCAGGAGAGGCTGACAACGATCTCTCTGGTATTTCCCAAAGTTAAATTCTATGACACTGCACAATCCAATAGACTGGCCATTAGATATACATTTAAGGAAAAGAACACATCACTCAGAGAGTTTGTTGTTTTTTTTAAATTGTGTCTTGTGTGTATAAATTTTCTAAGTTTCAGGAACCTTATTCTAAGTGTCTTTGGGATTGCAATCTAAACAGTATATACTGTAGTGAAGCCATGGAAACTGATATTTCACCAGCCAGGGTCACTAATAACTGTTGTGCCATCAACTGGCTGGAAGGATGAGGTTAAAAAGAGGATATATAAAAGTGGGGCTAGCCAGGCATGGTGGCTCATGCCTGTAATCCCAGCACTTTGGGAGGTCAAGGTGGGTGGATCACTTGAGGTCAAGAGTTCGAGACCAGCCTGACCAACATGGTGAAACCTTGTCTCTACTAAAAATACAAAATTAGCCAGGCATGGTGGCACACGTCTGTAATATCAGCTACTTGGGAGGCTGAGGCAGGAGAATAGCTTGAACCCAGGAGGCACAGGTTGCAGTGGGCTGAGGTCGTGCCACTGCACTCCAGCCTGGGCAATAAGAATGAAACTCCATCTCAAAAAACAAACAAAGTCGGCCTAATTTTAAAGAATACAGTTGTATAAGCATTTGTTAAAGGAGAGGCAAACATTACAAATGCAAATTCTCAAAAATTTGACTGAATTTTTGATCATTCAAATGAATATAGGTGGTTTCTACATTTTTTCCTCATCTAAACCATTCACATAATACATAATAGATTAATTTATATATATTAACAGTTTTAAAATTAACTCAATCACTATATATTTTAAATTGCCTTTTTTATTTTTTTTAGATGTAGTCTCTCACTGTCACCTGGGCTGTAGTGCAGTGGCATAATCTCGGCTCACGGCAACCTCCTCCTCTCGGGTTCAAGGGATTCTCCTGCCTCAGCCTCACGAGTAGTTGGGATTACAGGCACCCACCACCATGCCCAGCTAATTTGTTTTATTTTTAGTAGAGTCGGGGTTTCACTATGTTGACCAGGTTGGTCTCGAATGCCTGACCTCATGATCCACCAGCCTCAGCCTCCCAAAGTGCTGGGATTACAGGAATGAGCCACCGCAAATTGTCTTTAAATATAACTTAAATTAACATTACACAGGATACAAAAAAGCAGATTTCTATTTATAAGCACAAAGAATGACAGGTTTTGCCTGGTTGTAAGGAGCCGTGGTGCCTATTCTCCATGTTTCTACTTTAAATGTATGATCAGTCCTCTGTTTAACATGTCTCATTAAAAAAAGGCTGTACAAATTGGTACAAATTGCAAGTTCCCTCTCTCACCGTAAATTTCAATCTCCCCAAAAGAAATAGGCCTGTTTGGTACATTAGTGATCAAAATATTCAACCTGGAAATGCTTTCAAATATCCTTCAAACAGATGCTTGTAAGATTGAAAAGAACATCCTCACTGTAAAAAGAGGGCTTAAAAATACAGCCAATGAGGACAGTGACAGGAACTGGGGGTGGCGGACGTCCCAAGAAAATGGTCTTCATAGGGAAATAATTACCTTCAGATACTTGGGAAATGTCATTGAAGATGAGATTTGTTTTATGTTTCTGGAGGCCAGAATTAGGTTCATTGAGAAGTTACAATGAGGAAAATTTTAGCTCAATATTAGAAAGATCTGTAAAATAATTGATGCTAACCCAATATAAAATTGGGTGGCCTTGGCAGGTCACAAGTTTTCTGTCATTGAAATTTAACCAAAGGCCAGATAATCATCCACATTAGTTTGCTAGGACTGACATGACAAAATACCACAGACTGAGTAGCATAAAAAACAAAAAATTATTTTCTTACACTTCGGAAGGCTAGAGGGCTAAGATCCACGTGCCGGCAGAAGTGAGTTTTTTTAAGACGTCTCCCTTGGTTTACTGATGGTTGTCTTCTCCGTGTTCTCACAAGGCCTTCTTTCTGTGTGTATGCATCCCTGGGGTCCTTTTGTGTGTCCAAATCTCCTTTTCTAATAGGGACACCAGTCAGATTGGTGACATAAAAGACAGGTCCCTGTAGCAAGTGGAGTTAAGGGGAAGGGACTGCACTGGATATTACCAAGGAGCCACCTTCTACTTCTCACTTCAAACATGGAGGGAAATAAACATAAAACAAAATCTCATTCACCCAATGTTTAATTCTCTGGAGCACTGTTCCAGCAAATGATTTGCCACTTATGATGGGATTGTTTTAGGTTGATCTCAGGTAAACAGCATAAGCTAAGTGAAAAAGTCTGATTTAAATTGCTATTCGTTTTACACAAATAGTATAAATGATGTCAATGATATTATTTGAAAAATTACTATTCATATTTACTGCTTAAAATTAGAACAATATTAAGATAAAATATTTGTCTACCAACTCTGCCACCTGTATCAATGAAATTCTTCATTTGGTATTTTCTTCTAGTTACTCCTAAGTGTGCATAATTTACAAATTTGTATTCATCACGAATATCTGCGTTTTTCATTTATTTTACAAACAGTTTAACATACTGAAGCAAAGCCTTTATAGTCATTCTTAATGATGAACAATATACCTTTAGCATATAGGCCATACATTAAGCCAGCGGTCCCCAACCCTTTTGGTAGCAGGGACCAGTTTTGTGGAAGACAATTTTTCCATGGAGAGGGGAGGTGAGGGAATGAGGAATGGTTTCAGGAAGAAACTGCTCCACCTCGGACCACCAGGCATTAGTTAGATTCTCATAAGAAGCAGTCAACCCAGATCCTTCGCGGGGGCAGTTCACAACAGAGTTTGCACTCCTGTGAGAATCTGATGCTGCTGCTGATTGGGACGCAGAGCTTGGGCAATGATGCTCGCTCACCTGCCACGCACCTTCTGCTGTGCAGCCCAGTTCCCAAAGAGCCAGGGACCACTGGTCCATGCCCTGGGGGCTGGGGACCCCTGCACTAAACC